TTTTAGGACAAAGTATCCTTACATTTCCTGACTTCCTTGCTTCCTCTCCCTCTCTTAAGCTCCATCGAATATATGAAAAGATGAGTCACACCAAAAGACTTTGGAGAGCTTCAAGTTTTTCCTTGCTAAATGAACTATGAACTATTTTCAAAAGCCTTGATTTCCTTTCATTTTGTGTTTGGTTGATTTTCCCATCACATGTGACTTCATCGCATGTTTTTTATAAATTTTCCAAAACTTCTCTTTCAAATGACCCAACATTTTACAATGTTCACACCACAGTCTATTCTTCTTTGATTTGTTGTCCTGTGATGTGATTTATGAGTGTATGAAACTGAGTTGTCAACATTTAATGTAGTGGGATTACCTATTATCATGAGTTTCTTTCTGCTCTCTTCCCTTCATACTTCAACAAAGGCTTCACAAATTGAGAGAAAAAGTTTGGATCCATGATTTTGCCTCTGACTTCATTTAGTTTTTTTTTTTTAGTCCGAAATAAAACTTGAGGGTTCTCTTTGGTTTAACAAAGGTTTTGCAAAAGGTATAGTCTTGTGAGCACCTTCATGTTTATGTTTCATACATATCTAGTTGGAGATAATATTTAGAGAGGGATTTAAAATAAAGAATAACATTCAAAATACCCTCTCGTAGGTCATGTAATCTAGTTTCAATGTCAAACAATTCAGAGGTGTTATCAAAAAATGAATAAGTTTCTTTTGTCGCATCCCAGATTTCTTTTGTCATTCTATACAAGACTAAATTTTCTCCAAGTTTTGTGTTGATAAAACATGACATGACCATGAGATGTTCAATCTTCCATGTCTGATGTTTAGAATCTGTGACTTCTGGTGTACAATTTTCTTCAGTGAGATGACTAACTTTTCCTTTACTATAGAAGAACATGAACACAGATTAAGATCAAAGGAAGAAATTGTTATCATATAGCTTGTGATTGGTAATACAAGAATGGACTTCAGATGCTATAGAACCAAACATCCTAAGTTCAGGCTTAGCCGTAACTTTTGAAAAGGAAGAAACAGCTTTCATGCCATAATTGGTCATCATCAAGAATTCCACCAGAAAGAGAAATTGTCTGTCATCAATATAGAATTCTTGCTAGAAAGAGAAACTATCTATTGACGACACAACTCTCACTAAAGAAAAATTATCTGTCACCGACACACGATTTCCTCCAAAAACTGTCTGTCAGTCGCCGACACATTATTTCCGTTGTTGAGATGGTCAAATCCAGTTGTGATGACATAGGTCTTGGATTTCCATCTGACAAAATTCCAACGGGAGGGAGTGTATGATTTTCACTGAAGAGAGAGAAACCTAGCCACATGGAATTCATTTCCCCTAGAAAGAGAGTCTCAGTTCACATAATATTCCAAAACTATGATATTTGCGGCAAAATCAGAGTCAAAAAATCATATTGCATGAAAACAACATAAGACGCTACGGGAAACAAAAAAAGCAATGCAAGACTGCTCTACATAAAATAGTGGGAGTCACAAAAATAGCAAGAGTCACAAAAACAAAGGGAGTCGCAAAAGTTGCGAGCGCTTATGAGAAACAAAAAGACGGAAGCTTGTGAAAGGCCACGCAAGTCTGCAGAAGTCTGGCTAACGGCTTTAATCCGGTAGGGAGAGGAAGCCTAGGCAAGCCAACAGGGAGCATTTCAACAGTTGAAAGGAATCTAGGGTTTCTTCCCTTGTTTTGATACCATGTAGATTTAGAGGAAAAACTATCATAATTTCTCATTAAGCAAATAACGAATATATGCACAACTTAAACTCACCCTCATACAATTAGAGGAAAATTCAAATCATCATATTAAAAAGGAAAGAAATAAAAACACAATAATGGATAACTAAACGAGAATAATTTCTACCCCTCAAATGTAATGGCAGACTCATGCTTTCCTGAACCGGATATGCATATCAACAAATACTCATTTTCAAGAAAAAGCCCATTCAAATTAAATTAATGACATGAGAATTGATAAATATAAAATGAGAAGCAAGTTAAAATAGGCACCAGCATGTAAAAAAGAAAAAAAAAATCTGAAAATCAAATGAATATATCTTGAACAGTACAAAAATTTAATGGTGCTTTATGAGTGCACATTATTAAAAGATAAATTATGATACAAAATATTCTTATAAATGTCATGTTACCATATAATAAAAGTATAGAATTTAAGAAAAATGCATTATTATGATCTGCATATATATTAGTTTTATATTTGAGTTTGCTATAATATAAAACAATTCGTGTATTGAAGAAAAGAAGCAAGTAAAATAAGAATTAAGAATACTTCCATCTTACTTTATGTCTTCACTATCTAACATAATTTATATACAAGTTAAATTTTAAATCGATATTATTGTTTATTGATATTTTAAGTTGTGGAAAAGTTTCAGATTGGTTTAATTGTTAATAAAAAGCAGGTATTTATAGCCAAATCTTTTCATTCTCGTTTTAGTATTCCAAATTCTCTGTGTAGGTCATAACAGCGAGCCTTATCTATAAAGTGGATAACCTCTTTTAAAATTTTATCAATTCTCACACATGGTCAAGGATTAAAAACCCCGAAAAGAAGAAATAATCTACCCCCATAGATAGAGAAGTTATTTCAATAGCTAATGTATTTGCACGTCTTAGAACCTTAATTATAATTAAAAGATTTGGGGAATCACTTTAGCTAAGTTAAAATAGCAACCAAATCACACATCCACACAAATCCCAACTATAATGCTGGCCAGTTCAAAGTTCAACGATATGGCCGCATTTTTTTAATAATACAAAAGGTGGCGGATCACTAAAAAGAAACCCCAATAATCAGTAAAAAAAACTTAAGACAAATGATGAGCTACAGAATAGAAAATAACCCAATACATAGAACATGGAAATCTGCCAATAATTTAAAACATTAAATAAGTTGAAGGATAAAAGACAAACTATAGGAATTAAATAAAATAGATGACAGCCCACAGAATAAAAAAAAAGGATAGTCAAAGGCTCATTGCCAATTATGCCCGGTATAAAAATATCCATCTCTAATGAATTGTTTTGAGAACATTCCTCTATTAGATTTGGACCTAACTATTACAGCTTTAGAGATTTATATGAATCATCACATTAAAGTCTCCCTCCCTCTCCATTGCACAAGATAACACTATGTGCATCATCAGTATGGACATAATTACATTTACAATAATAGATACAGAACAAGATAATATTACCATTTGGCCATTGTGCAAAAGACAAGTTGGATGTGAAACTAAGGAAAAGCTGAGGATAAAAGAACCCAAATTTTAATTGATGGTTATGTTCGAAAAAATGCATTTAAAACTAGACTAATGATAGAAAAGCGGAAAGGAAAAAATTCAGCAAGCAAAACTTGGAGCAATCTATATACAAAACAACAATAATAAGAGCACTCAATTGATGCCGCAAATAACCTCTTTCATTTGTTTACAAATCAAAAAAAATTTAAATTACAACCATCGATCACAATTTATAAGAAAATAAGATTCAAAAAATTAAAATCAAATCTAATCTATTCCTATCTTGAAATCAAATTCAGACATTTTAACAATTTTCCGAATGAACTTAACTGAACCTTAAAATATAGGGAAAAAAAAGAAAATATATATTGGTCAATATATATTCAATTCAAAAACTCTTCGAGTGCTTATTCAAATGATATTCTACTTTCCAATCCTGGACATAACACTCATTCTAGAATGAAACACGTGTTCAAATTGATGCCACTCTCTTCCAAATAAGGCTTGACCGAAATATACAAAATTGAAACTCTGAAATATGCAAGATTATAGTTTCCTTATTTGCTTAAATCTCATGTTACTCATTTTCCTCGTGCATCATGGTCGGACATCCCCCATATAGAAATCATTGAATTGTATTTTTATTAGTCCAAAATAAACTTTTGATTATGTAATCATCAGCCTTTATCATTTTTACCCTAAATTATGCCCCATATAAGCATGATATGTAATCATGGAATTCATTATTTGATGAAATAAAATTATGTGTGCTTATTTTCAACTTTGAAGATTGCTTTAGCGATCTTCTTCCCTAAAAGTTGATTTGGTGATCGCTGACACCCGTTTGTTCTTTTTTATAATTCTTTAGTAAGGCTATAATCAACAATGGTTATATCCCCTTCTTATATACGTCATACTTATCCCCATCAACCAATGTTCTCGGCCACAGCACTTCTAGGCCCTTCACAAACCATAATAATCATCAACCTCACCAAAAAACTCCACCACATCTACAAATATCATCCCTTCATCAAAAACATAAGAATACCCACCAAAACAACAAAATTGTTGCAACCCCAAAGTTGAAGCAACAAATAGAGACAGTGAACACAGACTACACCATAGCTTGAAAAGAAATATCCAATAAATTAAAACAGCACACCGGAATAACGGACTGCAAAACAGCCCCACAATAGAATAATAACAGCAGTGGGAATAAGTTAACATCGTAAGAATGTAAATGTAAAATCTGACTGATACGGCTAACTTATTATGAGAATATTCAAAATTCAAAGTCTAAATTGCAAAGTTTAATTTTCAAATTCATCATCATAATCTCAACATTTTACAATTTATTACGGCTATTGAGCCTTAGATTCACATTGGTAAATATAAAAAACTAGTATGTATTGGCATATGCATCATAAATTTAAGTTTTTAGTAAATTAATTTATTTTTTATCCATACTATCAAACCACACAAGAACAAAGCAACATGTTACTCCTGCCCTTAAACCAGACAACAACAAAACACCAAATACTTTGAACTCAATAAGAACATAAAGCTCCATAATCAAAAGCAAAATATTTTTGGCCAAACATTCCGGAGGAAATATAACCACAAAAAAGAAGGCATACAATAAAGAGAAATAAGATAAATTGAAAATGAGGGAGAAGTTCTAACATAAAGCAATACAAGGTATCAAACCTGCAATAGGATGATTGGACCACCTTGCCAAGAGAAAAGCTTTTCTTCTTTCATCATTTCCACAATTTTACTAACAAATCTTTGCATCTCAACCTGAAATGATCAAATTAGCATGACAAAATGCAATAATAGAAAATGTTAATAACAGAAATCAACTCCTGCATTAGCATCATATTGTGAGCATGTGTTCATGCCTCCAGCAATTGTTACAAAAAGCAGCTTAGAATAAAGTATTGTACACCTCATCAACACGCAAGCTTATGGTTACATAATATGGATGGAATATTATAAAGGCTCATATAAATTAAAAGTAATTACACAATAAATTCTTGTAGAGAAGAAAAAGGAAAAAATTGATGAAGGAATACCAAATATACCTTCATAGATAGTGATACAAAGCATGTTATCTAAAGATGAAATCTCAGACATCATCAAAGCCATCTCATAAATTTTCTATGACAATTTGACATCTTTTAAGGGTTCTAGAAGTTGTATGCAGATCGAAAAAAGTGTTGAAAATGTTTGCATACTAGCAAGACAGAAAAATTTGAGAATCAACGAGAAGATGAGGACAAAGATGTCATGGCTGCACTCCAGTAGTAAAGACAGCCAGGAAACACCAATTGGTGGCACTTTCGGCAAGGTACAGATGATGTGGAGGATACACCATATGTTCTCTTCAAGTAAAATTTTACCAATTAAAGAAGAAAATGTAACAACTCACTGAATATGAGAAAACAGAAAAAAATAAACCAAAGAAAAAGTTCACATAAACTAAGTTCTGCCAAATATATTTATACCAAGGCGGAAATGAAATCCTAATTATAACTCAAAGGAAAAGAGGCGTCCCACAAATCCCATCATAATTAATAGTGGAAAATCTCCTATTACTGCTCTCTAAGGACGAGAAAATTCTACTGACACTTCATCCTGGACAGGGAATGTACCGGAGCTAACCCAAATTACAACGGAAGAAGCAAAAATTATTACTTGAAGCAAATAAACAATTATAAACGACACTTGGAATTAGGAAACAACAAATGACACAACACAAACTCAACAAGGCCTTGGGTCGAGAGTGGTGGTGTTGCGGTTTACGAAGAAATAGTAAGTAAGAAGAGCGAGATGGTTGAGAGGCAACAAGGGAAAGCAACGGCTGTGGCAAGGGAAGGCAGTGTTCGTGGCAAGGGGGCGACGGGTGGCTGTTAGGTGGTTGGAAGGTGGGCGGCAACAAGGTTGGAGGTTTCGAAAGGATGAGGGAAGAGCTGTGGGAAGCTCTAGACAGCTAGGACTGCTGCTGGATGGGGCTGGCAGCAGGGGGAAGATGACTGGAATGCTGGCAGCAGGGGAGAGATGGCAGGAAGGGAAGTGTTGGCAGCGGCAGGGAATTAGCAAATGACTATTTTCTGAGTGGCTGCAGGAACTTCGAAGACAACAGTAGCGGAGGAGAGGCTGTGTGAATTAGGGAGCGATAGATAAACACCACCTCAGGGATGAGTTAGAGCTGAAGCACCTTCCTACCTTCGGATCCAGTCTTGGGAGGGAAAATTGGACGCTGATGGCTGTCCTGACCAAAACTTGTAAACAAAACTGCCTCTAGACACACTAACATATAAATACTATTAGGAAACTAAAAAGTGGCCCATTCCTTTGAACGTCACCTTAAAAATCTAGGAACTGAACCATTCCAACTTCTTGTCGCAAGAGTTAAATGCTAGTCCCATGCATCCCCACCCCTCCTCATCTGACATATTTACGTCTGATCCAGCGTGCCCACGTCCGCATCTGGCGTGCCCACACTCGCACCTCATGCTTCAATGCCTATGTTAGTCTCCCAGGTTTGGGGAACTTCGACCTCATTCGTCGAAGCTCGTGTCTGCAGTTTGAAAATAACAACTCTACTGTAACCTCATGGGTTTAAAGGGTTTGCGACTGCAGTATGAAGAGCACCTTGATCTCATTGGTGACTACACTACTCCCCATATCACTTGAGGGTTTTTCCCCAACTTGCAAGCAAAGATCAATATCATTCCAACCATCAGGAGGACATTGTTGAGTTGAATAGAGATTTTGTACCAAGAGTGTGCTGTTGAATTCTCGGAACACAACCCAAGGTTGGTTCAACTCGATGTGAGATGAGGATAATCTGAATCTTCTTAGCGAGTGGTGGCCATGGTGGTAAATTATTGACTAGGATGTTCTGAAACTCTCTTTGTACTGGTTGTTTTGTGTTTGGAATCGATGCCTAGGTCATTTCATTCTCTATCATCATCAAAATTGATCTTGCTAGCGCTTCTCGCTGACAAAAGCACTAAGAATCTCAGATTTCTCAGAATGTAAGAGAACGATATGCTTTCCATCCTAAGTGAATGAGTAGATGTTCTTTTGCTTGTCATGTTGAGTCTGATGATCGAACTACCACGGTCTCCCAACAACAGGTGACAAGCATCCATCGACACTACATCGCACCAAACTTGATATGTAGATGAGTCCCAATAAAAAAAATTCTTTGAGACATCTCCTGTCAATTACTGGCCTTGTTCTCTTTCTTCAACAACGTCAGGGAATACGGGTGGAAATGTCTCTAAGTTAGGAGGCTCCGTTTGTCTACAGTTTGTATAGATGTCACACACTTGTTGCCCCTCCCCCATCAATATAATGAGACAACATACATTTTCCTTCACAATGCAACAAGTGTAGAATATGTTGTAGCGTGAAGCCACTGCTGATCCCTCGTAGCCTCAGTCTGTAAGACCTGTCGAACCAAAATAACTCACTCTTATCATGTGGAAGATGGTACTCCTCACCATGTTCTTCAACTACCTCTTTATTACTAACTTCCTCCACTGCTCCCTGCTCGTTGAAGGATACAATGCGGCAGTCGGGCAACTGGAAGTGATGTAGCTAAAACCATGGCATCTGAAGCATTTTCTGGATAAAACTTGTAGTGGGCGTGCTACTCTTCCCAGGTTTTCTTCACTCGAAGGGTCTCTATTGTTCCTGATTAGTCTGCTCCACTCCTTGAGGCGTGCTCCTCTTGAGATCTGCCCTTGTGGATGTATGCCTGAGTGGCAATGATTGCTTTGATTATGTCGTCTCCCCACTTTCACTGTTATGGTTTGCACATCCGTCGGTGTCGAATAGGGTTGCAGCTGGACCACATTACTAATGGCGGGCTTTAAACCTACCAAGGATCTATCCATGGTGTGATCCTCCCTCTTTCAGCTCATACCACAACTTGAGCTGCATATATTATGTCGTGCACTCCTCCATTAATAGCTCCTTCTGTTGCAGGTAGTGGAGCTTCAATAAAGTATCCTGGAAGTGGTGTGAGGTAGGTATTGTCAGTGCATCTCCAAATTCATTTTCTCCCAAGAACTGATTATTCTTGTCATTCTCTGTCTCTCCCTCTTCAGATTCTCCCACCATAAAGAACCATTCTTCTTCAACTTGATGGCAACAAGCTTCACTCTTCTATCAACAGACACCTTATATTAAAAAATTCAATCAACGGACTAAATCCACTCAAGAAAATCATCTAGATACATTCTCCTCTCGAAATCTAGTAAGTCCACATTCAGTCTCAGCTCTCTCTATCTTCCAATAGGCACGTCATCTCTGTATCATCTAATTGGCACTCAATCTGTGCATCCTATAACAAACATCCATGGAATCCTCTAACATGCATCTCATCTCTGTATCCTCCAACAAGCATCTAATCTCTGTATCTTTCAATAAGCACTTTAGTTGTAGGCCTCTGCTAATATAGTACCCTAAAGCATTGTGGCTTGTCTTCTCAACTAGAATCATCCCTACGAAAGGGATTCAGGTGTTCTTGCTCTCCTTCATGAATTTAACTATTACGCTTGACAGTGATCCCGCCTTGGGTTCTTTCCTCAATAGCATCAGACCGATGTAGCAGTTGGAGTAGTCGTTGTATGTCATCCATGGTAGATTCTTGATCAGATTCCGGCAATTGTCTCCTCAGGGCATGGTTAGGTGGAAGTTATGTAATGGTAACGTAGGGTGAGATAGAAAATTTTTTGGGTGAAGATATGGGGGATGCTAAAATAGGATTAGAGTTAACCCGACTCTGGCCCTAATAAAAGCATATTTAACCCAAACCACTGTGAAAGAAGCAAATATCATTACTTGTAGCAAATAAGTGTTTGACACGACAAAAACTCAACTAAGATTTAAGTCCAAGGTGATGGAGTTACGGTTTACAGAGAAATAAAAAGTATGAAGGGCAGGATGGTCAAGAGGCAATAAGAGAAGGAAGCTTCTAGGACAAGAGAAAGCGATGAGTGGCTATCAGGTAGATATAAGGTGGGCGACAACAAGGTTGGGTGGGGAGACTGCACGAAGGGGGAGGGAAGGGTTGTAGAGGGCTCGCGGCAGTTAGGACTGCAGCTGGAGGGGGCTGGCAATATGGGGGATATGACTTGAACGGCTGGTGGCAGGGTGGAGGCGAAGTTGGCTGGGAGGGAAGGGCGACTGCAGGAAAAAAACAAAGGCCAGATTTTCGAGTGGCTGTAGCAACTTGGCCAACAACAACAACGTAGGGAATGTTAAGGAAAGCAATGAATGATTAATAAACACCATTTTGGGACAAGTTACAAACAAAACACCTTATCACCTTTGGATACAACCCTAGGAAAAATTGGAGGTCAACGATTTTCCTGACATAAACCTTAAAAAAAATTGCCTCTAAACACACAAACAACATAAAAATACTATTAGGCAACTAAGGAGTAGCCCACTCCTTCAGATGGTACTTTCTGAACCTAGGAATTGAATCAGTCCAACTTCTCGCCACAAGAGTTCAATGCCAGTGCAGCGTTTCCTCGTCAAGCATCCCTCCGACATACCCAATACCATGTTCAGCGCACCCACGTCCACGTCCAATGTACTCACACCCACATGTGGTGTACCCTCGAGTGCATTTGGCATACCCATGTTTGCATTCCGCATGTCCACTCTTGCATCTCACGCTTCTACCCCTACATCACTCTTTCCGAATGAGAGGGGCTTCATCTTCTTCTCTGTAAGCTTATGTATCCTAGTACTACGAGGACAAGTCAAGGACATCT